TGAATTTCAACAGTATTAAATAGTTTTTCCCTCTTTTATTGTCAAGAGAATTGGTTTGCAGCTCTTTTTTTGGCGTTGAAACAACAACAATAAATAGAAAAACAATTTACAAAAGAATTGTAAAAATATTCTATTTATTTTGCTTGTTTTCATACAAACATACATATAATTGTTTTTGTTTTTTATTATTATTATGGTATTAGAAATAAAACTTCCGGGTACAATTTTAAATTATTTGTGGTTTGTAACCACAAATATAGTCCCTCAAGAGTGAAATTCAATTAAAATTCGATTTATCATTAAATTAAATGAAATAATTTTTTTTCTTAGTAAGTTTGAATTTATATTGAAAAAATCAGATACATATTTATATCATATTAATGTAAAAATAATCCATAAGCGAAAAAAAATAGATGAAAATAAATATGGTGTTTTTATGCAGTTTTTTATATTTTTAACTGACAGATTAAACCTTGACAACTGAAACCGATTTATTAAATTTGTATAAAAATTAATGATTATATAAATTTTTTGCAATTAAACATTTTTAATGAGGACGTAAGTTAGTTTAAATTTAATTAAAAAATTATAATTTAAATGAGTTCTTTAAAAAAAAAACTGTTTTTTTTTAAGTTTCCCAATATATCCTAGAATAGGAAAATGGTGTAGACATATTCAACCACATCTTAGTAAAAATAATTTTAAATTTTTATTTATAAGTTTTTTCACGAATATTCCTAGAATAGTAAAATGGTGTAGACATATTCAACCACATCTTAGTAAAAATAATTTTAAATTTTTATTTATAAGTTTTTTTTCACGAATATTCCAAGAATTTCTCATGTAGTTATTTATCTTGTCAGTTATCAGTTGTTAAAATACAATATTAATTCTGATTATGTCGATAATGTGCTAACAAATTAGTTTTGCCCTAATATGTCATTTTATTAAAGGTTTTTTAGTTTATTAATAACTGTCAAATGCTTTTTTGCAATTTTAATTTTACCACATTTATTGTAACATCATTATAAATAGCACTCTGGGCCGCCTTTTTATGTTTGTCGATGTTTTTTTCTGATATTAACTTTAGCAAATAAAACAACATATTGTTTTTGAAATTTTTTCCAACAATTTCCGCCACAACAATTAACATGAATGGCAAAAGGAAGTGGTTAAAAAAACTTTGTGAAAAACTCATTCATTGAAATATTGAAAATGTACAAAAAAATTATTTACAACTATTTATTTGTTTTGGTTTTAATTTAAAACAAATGTTGTATGCAATAATTTATGGCTTAGAAAATATTTACAATAAAAAGTTTTACATATTTAAGGCAAGCTCAAATCAAACTTTAGATTTTCTTTTATAGAAATTAGTAAAAAATTGTAAATTAAAGCCTAATAAAAAATATAATATTTTAAACTATAAATTCGACGTGTAGTTTCCTTGCTCTGGTGCCCTAGAATTTCCTTAAGTAATGCATAAATTTGCTAAATATTTACCTAAAATTTAAAACTATTCTAAAACTATACGCTTGCTTAAGCATCCTAAAAGTAGACTTCACTTTAAAAACATTCACCATACACCTGCTGAGTAATTTCAGTTTAACTCAAAAATAACAATTGTAATAATAACTATAACAACAAACACATAAATAAATAAACAACAATCATGTAGTGAATAAAAAATATGAACATTCACACAAACACTTGAATTACAAATACAAACAAGGTAATAAACCAATAAGTAAATAAACAACATGTTAAACAAAGGAGAGAAAGACACAGCAAGAGAACAATAGTGTGAAGCAGACATAGCAGATTAAATTTTTTCAAAAAGTACTAACTAGTCGTTGGACTAATCAATGAATTGATCGATAAACTAGTCTATGGACCAGTGGATGTAGTAGTCAATGGACTGGTCTAGGGAAAAGTCTATGTATTAGTTAATGGACTAGTCTATGCACTAATAGATGAACTAGCTTATGAACAAGCCTATGAAATTCACTGCGGACTGGTTAATAGACTAGACTATGAACTAGTCTATGGATTTGACTATGAAATATTCTAAGGACTATTCTATGGATTTGCCTATTGGCTAATGTATTCACTAGCCTATTGTCTAGTCAATAAAATAGTCTATAGATAGAGTCAATGTCACTAGTCTTCAGAATAGTCTATGAAAAAGCCTAGTCAATGGATTAGACTCTGTACTGTACTATACTAGACTATGGATTAGTCTATGGGCTAGTCTATGAACTAAACTATGAACTAGACTATGGACTATTCTATGGACTAGACTATGGACAAGTCTAAGGATTAGTCTATGAAGTAGACTATGGACTAATCTATGGACTAGACTATAAACTAGTCTATGGACTAGACTATGGACTAGTCTATGGAGTAAACTATGGACTAGTCTATGGACTAGACTATGGACTAGTCTATGGACTAGACAATGGACTAGTCTATGGACTAGACTATGGACTAGTCTATGGACTAGACTATGGACTCGACCATGGACTAGTCTATGGACTAGACTATGGACTCGACTATGGACTAGTCTATGGACTAGACTATGGACTAGTCTATGGACTAGACTATGGAGTAGTCTATGGACTAGACTATGGACTAGTCTATGGACTAGACTATGGACTAGTCTATGGACTAGACTATGGACTAGTCTATGGACTAGACTATGGACTAGTCTATGGACTAGACTATAGACTAGTCTATGGACTAAACTATGGACTATTACTTTGACTTTCCTATTAACTAGACTATAGACTAGTCTATGGACTGGACTATGGACTAGTCTATGGACTAGACTATGGACTAGTCTATGAACTAAACTATGGGCTAGTCTATGGACTAGACTATGGACTAGTCTATGGAATATACTATGGACTAGTCTATGGACTAGACTATGGACTAGTCTATGGACTAGACTATAGACTAGTCTATGGACTAGCCCATGGAGCAGACTACGGGCTTACCTATTGATATATGAACTGTCGTATTTACTATCATATTGATCAGTTTATTGACTATTCCATGATTAGTCTAGTGATTTTTCCACCACTGAACTGCTGGTAAAATATATATGAGAGAATGTATGTACTACATACATTAATATTAAGGCATATGAGTAATACACATATTACCCATACATACAGAGGAACATATACATATGTATTATTAATAAGAAGAAAATAGTAAGTATTTAGTACGTATTTAAGAATTTTTACCAATAATTTTTAAAACTATTTAAATTTAGATTTTAAGAGCAATTAAATATAATAGTTAAGATATTTATACACAAAATTTTATTGTCCTATTTGTACTTATATAGCTAGTAACAATTATACAATTAAACAATATTATTTGTTGCCTAACTTAAGGCTTAATTAAAACTTTATTCAAATTTTCAGCTGTAAATAATCATTATTTGTTAAATGTCTTGTTTAAACTGACCTGATTTGGAAATTTAAATTAACATAACTAGTATGCCAATGGTATTAGGAAAAAATAGTTTAATTAAGTAAATTATAAATAACAAATACAATTAGAAGTTTACTAAGCTAAATAAGTTTTGGATTTAATGCAAATAAAATTAAAATATTTAAAATAAACAAGTAAATATGGTTGAAGAACAGGCAAAGTGGTATATGAAATGCACTACATTATGGAATTTATTTTAAAGCAAAAAGTTAGTAACAAAAAAATAACAATTTTTTAAAATTTATTTTCTATATTTTTCTAAGAAAACATTAAAATGAAAAAATGAAAATTTTCCCAAAAATATTTATATTCGATTTTTGTTCATTTTTTTTTTTTTTTTTTTGGCAAAACCAACTTAACAATAATCTTAAGTTCATAAGTTAAACTGAAACTTTTTAAGCTAATGTTTTATTTATTTAAACAAAAGTTTTTCTTATTATTTTGTTTTAGAAAATATACAAATTTTCAAATATTTTATGATGTTCATTTGTAATAAACAAGCTAGCAGCTATAAAAGTTATTTTACAGTTTTTTTTCATTTTTGTCCCAATTTTATTTTACATAAATACATATTTTATAAATATTTGTTGTTACATTTCTGGGGCAATACAAAAAATGTACATAGATATTTATATGAAATATTTAAATTAGTTTGTTATTTCTGTAATATTTTTAAAATTTTTATGGCATTCTATGAGACTGTTTTAAATGCACTTGACAGTTACATATTATTTGCTAAACTAAATACTGTAACATATTTATGTTGTCAGTTTTTAATAATATTGTCTGGTAAATGAACAAGTTCACACAGCAACTAGATAACTTTTTGGGCTGGAACGGAATAATTAAGTTTAGAGTAAATAATACACACATACAATTATTTAAGAGACAATGTTGCTTCTTTGATAATATATTAAAGCACAACCTAAAAGTATGCAAATTATTTTGTGTAATAAAAGAAAAAGTTTTTTTTGTGAAATAAATCTAAGTATTTAAGTATTTAAATAATATATTAATCTATAAAGCATATTTATGTAACATACTTTAAGGCTTAAAAGTATTTATTATATTACTGCATAACTTAAGGCGTAATATTTAACTTATTTATTTAATTTATAGACAACTATATCTAATATTTATACAACACTTAATAAACAGTATAAATACTTTTCGCCAAAGCCAAAAAGAATTTTAATTTATGCCAAACATGTTCAGCATAAATAAATTATTTACTCATTCATTTAAATATTTGTTAAGCTTATTATTGTTATTAAAATATTCTTAAAGTAATTGTTAATATTTTACTTTTTCGACAACTCTTACATATTAACACGTCTTCTCTTAAAATCCTCCAGTGCAATAGCCAAGTTCGTGAGTGTGTATGTGTCTATAAATGAGAACCATTTTAATAAAAATAATAATTTTTATATGAAAAACGTGATAATTACTTCTATAAAGCTTTATTAATTTTTCTCTTTTGCTCTTTCTCTTCTCAATAGTAACTAAATTCATACGTATTGGCATTGCGGATAAAAACGATAATCCTCCCTATTTCGATAAGAGTTTATATGAAGCTGAAGTCGATGAAAATGAAGATATACAGCATACGGTATTAACAGTTACTGCCAAAGATCATGATGAATGTAAGTACTATATGCAATTAAATATGGCTAAATTTATAACATACAGTTTGGGGGTTTTCGTGTTATGTAAAGTGAAGCATAGTTTAGGGGAGAGGAAAAATAAAATTTGTAAACATATTTATATTTCTCTTTAATTTCTTTTTTTTTAGCTTCTCGCATACGTTATGAAATCACTAGCGGTAATATTGGTGGTGCCTTTGCTGTCAAAAATATGACTGGTGCTATTTATGTAGCCGGTTGCTTTGGATTATGAAACACGCAGAAGGGTAAGTTGGTAGAAATCTTTAAGAATTAAAAAAAACAACACAAAAAATTCTATAAGAATAAGGGAATTTTAAATCTAAATACAAATTACATCAATATAATTTGTTACTGACTATTGCTGACAAATTTTAAGTTAATCAAAGTATGAAGATGTCACATAAAGTTTGCGAAATTCTACTTTTAGGATGTTGATTTAAAAGTGGAATTTGTATTCCGTCAGTTCTAGTTCTAGTTCAGTTCTAGTTCAGTTCTAGTTCAGTTCTAGTTCAGTTCTAGTTCAGTTCTAGTTCAGTTCTAGTTCAGTTCTAGTTCAGTTCTAGTTCAGTTCTAGTTCAGTTCTAGTTCAGTTCTAGTTCAGTTCTAGTTCAGTTCTAGTTCAGTTCTAGTTCAGTTCTAGTTCAGTTCTAGTTCAGTTCTAGTTCAGTTCTAGTTCAGTTCTAGTTCAGTTCTAGTTCAGTTCTAGTTCAGTTCTAGTTCAGTTTTCTAGTTCAGTTCTAGTTCAGTTCTAGTTTCAGTTCTAGTTTCAGTTCCTAGTTCAGTTCTAGTTCAGTTCTAGTTCAGTCTAGTTCAGTTCTAGTTCAGTTCTAGTCAGTGCTAGTTTAGTTTAGTCAGTTCTAGTTCAGTTTCTAGTCAGTTTTCTAGTCAGTTCTAGTTCAGTTTAGTTCAGTTCTAGCAGTTCAGTTCAGTTCTAGTTCAGTTCTAGTTCAGCTATCATTTCATCTCAATCCTTTGAAGTTATCATTTTAAAAAAGACTTAGATTCTACTTTAATTAACATTTTAAACACTACTTTATTACAAATTCAATATATACTTGAATTTCTTCAAAAAGTTATATATACCAATATAAATAAACATAATTCACTACAAATTTTAAACAGTATTGATATTATATTAAAATATTTTAAAAAACTAAATATGAAAACAAATATTTTTATAATAACCGTAAAATCTATAAAAACAAAATTCAAACTTCCCACCTCCATTAGTATGAGCTACGTTTAGCTGCTTCAGATAATTTAAAGGAAAACTATACTACCGTTATAATACACGTCAAAGATGTCAACGATAATCCGCCTGTGTTTGAAAGACCCACCTATCGTACACAAATCACCGAAGAAGATGATCGCAATTTACCTAAACGTGTGCTACAGGTTACTAACAAACTAAATTATACAAAAATTTATTTTCTCATTTTGAAAAACAAGCTTCAGTTCATAGTTCTAAACGTTTTTTGTTTAAAATTGTTTCGTTTCGTTCTATTTTTTTCATTGCTAGTTGCAATTTTAGTCGTAGTTTTCCATCAAAAATCTACAAATTTTATGCATGAATATTTTATATGCAAATTGTTTATAGTTTTATTTTTTAGTTAAAAACCAAAACCAACAAAAAACAAACAAAAGCTACAACACAATTTTAATTAAAATTATTGTTGTTTTAGTTCTTTCTGCATTATTTTATATGAATTTAGTATAAAAAAATTATTATTGAATTTGGCTTATGTTTGCTTTAATATTAAAAAACATATTTATACCCCATTACCTATAGGGGGTCTTGAAAAGGTTATAATATATTAATGTAGTATGTATTCTCATGTTCAGTTGTAACTATTATTCAGTTTGTTTTTCGTTTTAAATTGACAATATGTCAATCATGTCATAGTTATTTTTTTATGTTATAACTAAAAGTTGTATACAATTTTGTTTTTTATTTATATGTATTTTTTAAATATTTATGTTATTTAACACTTGTTTGTTTTTAAAATATTTATACTTATTTGGCGTCAATTCTTGCTTTGTTCACTTTACAGTTTTGTATGAAAAATCATAGATTTTTTTAGTTTATGTGCTGGGATGTTTTTCTGTTGAAAATGAAAAGGATCAAAACATTTTCATGATGAAAAGATTTGTATTTGTAGTATCATGTCATTTACACACACAAACGTATATACATACATAAAAGGGATTCACAGTTGTTTTGTAGTGATAGTGTTATTAAATTATTTAAAAATACATACTTTTAGGAATAAGTTTCCAATTGTTGATTTAAAGCATAGATTTAGCAAAGCATTAATGTTTGTTTAGATATTTTAAAGGTTTTATATTATAAAGAAACCTTAAAATATTTAAGATTGTTTAACATCATTTAATTATGCAATATTTTTAATTTTATGATAATTGTTTAATTTTTCCCAAAAAATATGTTGCTACGTTGATGTACTTCAATTCTAGTTCAGTTTTAGTTCAGTTCTAGTGCAGTTCTAGTTCAGTTCTAGTTCAGTTCTAGTTCAGTTTTAGTTCTAGTTCAGTTCTAGTTCAGTTCTAGTTCAGTTCTAGTTCAGTTCTAGTTCAGTTCTAGTTCAGTTCTAGTTCAGTTCTAGTTCAGTTCTAGTTCAGTTCTAGTTCAGTTCTAGTTCAGTTCTAGTTCAGTTCTAGTTCAGTTCTAGTTCTAGTTCAGTTCTAGTTCAGTTCTAGTTCAGTTCTAGTTCAGTTCTAGTTCAGTTCTAGTTCAGTTCTAGTTCAGTTCTAGTTCAGTTCTAGTTCAGTTCTAGTTCAGATAAAATTACTTCATAATTATTTTGTAGAATTTTTAACAAACTGTGATTACCCTTTGAAATTGAATTAAAATTTTCAGTTATTTTTACAAAATATTATTTAAATGCGTTTTATTTGCGTTTTTTTACAATATAGTTAGAGACGTAAAAAAATACAAACATCAGTGTAACTTTTTTGCATAAAAATAAATTAAAATCAACAACATTGTACTTCACTGTCAACATTATAACAAGAAATAATCACTTCGCTTCAATTTTACATGCAAAATGGGAAAAAACTAAAAATATATTATGTATATTGAAGAAAAAAACATTATTTAAATTAAAAGTTTTTTTTAAAGAATAAATAAATATTTAATGTAATTTAAGAATTTTAAAATAACGAATATAAAACATTTTTTTAACTACAGATAGTGAAACTGAGAGATGAGTACAAAATTAATCCTATGTACAAATTGTATATAAAATATATAGAATGTTGTGAACATCATTTGTATATATAACATAGCAGTTTCCTGTGAATGACACTTGTTTTTAAAACATTTTACTGTGAATAAAAACGGACCCGGCGTCTTTACATATGCAAATTATTTTTAATATGTAAAAATTTACATATTTTTAAAATATTTTTCTTATAATATTAGTGTATAATTTTCTTTAATTTTATTTTATTTTTAATTTTTTATATAATATTTTACCTTTTTCCTTTTTATGTTGAATTATTCGCGGTTAACAAAAAACACATAACAAATACCCGTAATATAAAACCCCAAAACGTTATTAAATAATTACAAATTAAAAAAAACCCAAAAGTATGAACTTAAATTGGTGGCCTCTGATAGTTTAAATGAAAATTCCACTACCATAATTATAAATATACGTGATGTTAATGATTTACCGCCGGTCTTCCCGCAAACATTGTACGAGCGTACTTTGAATGAAGAACTGAAGGCACCTTTTACCATAATACAGGTCAGGTCGTGTTTAATTTCACTTTTTTTTAATTTATTTATTTTCTTTATTATTTGTCATTAAATTTTCATACATTTTAATAATGATTTTTTGTTTATTTCATCTCATTTTGATTTTTACATATATTTGTATATACAAAATGTATTTTTTTTGTTTAACCATAAATTATTTATTAAAAAATAAAACAAATAAAAGTAATTGAACCATGTGTAAATAATGATTGAAAATATGTATATGGTATGATTGAATATTAAATAAATATTAAAACAATAATATAGGGAAAAAATAACAATTTGATAAAAAAAATTAAAACTCAATAAAATTAAAATTAAGTAGTATCATTTTCGCCCAGAATAGATTCCCAGCAAAAAGTTAAATTTTAGAGGGATATTAACTAAACATGAATACAAACATTAATCGACTAATAAACGGCAGAAACTTGAAGCAAGAGCTCTCCCTCTCGCATACAATTGAATTGATTGCAATTCATCATAAAAGAGGGAACTAGTAGTCCACAGGGCAGAGATTTGGACTTTGTCTTGTCCGGGTTATTGGAGAGGTCCCCTAGGGGTGCTCGTGGTGACTATATGGTTATCTTATAAGATATCTTATACAGGTATCAGTATCATTGAATTTTCCATCTTTATCAGGATATTATGTTCAGGGTTCTGTTCATATCAGACTTACCCCAATGTGTTCCCGGTGAATAAGAACTTGTCTTTGGATTATTTGATGGATTCGAATTTCAGTCTACCGATTACGTCTGCATGGTTGTAAACGGAAGTGATGTTTTTGCATCTCGGAAATTACACAACGGCGCAGCAATGGTCAAAAGTTAAATAGCTCTAGTACCTGAGCAAAGCTTACCCTGTGGTTAAGACTGTCATGGCAGATCCACCCCCCGGGCATGTTTACTTGATGAAAGACCCTCATCTTTGGGTATTGCAATCTCGGGGTAAAGAGATGCTACCAGTACCTCTAGTCTGCCTGGATTATAAACTGGTGATGTCACTTCACCCCATGATTTGATATGGGGTCTAACCATAGAACCACATAATCTGATACTACGGGTGGCCAGTTGCCCGCAGGACTTGTCCTGGCTGATCAGTTGATTGAGGTTGCTTCAGGAGCCACGTAGTGGCTGTGGCTTAAACCCAAATTCACAGGAAGAGTCAGTTGCGGTTAAAATACTGATGCACGATGAAAGTTATATTTCGGGATAAGTTCTGTGCTGTTGGCGAATGACAACACATACCCCACAGGGGAGTGACTGTGGGTCTAAGCATTGGAATGAGTTGGTGTTAACTGATTTCCAACCGTATACCTAGAGTAAGTGTGTTGGATGTTGTTCTCTATTGAGTGTTTCGGATGAATGAGAAGTGTGCTGGGTTGAATGGTGATGGATGAAAGGTATCTTATATATGTAAGTGATACCATTGAATTTTCCTTCCTTGTCCACGAATGTTCAGAATAAACTCTGTTCATACCAGAATTACCACAGTGTAACGCTGTGAGTAAGAGAAAAGTCTCGGCTTATTTAATGGATTCGTACTTCGGTCTACCGTCCCATCTGCGTTTATTGTAAACGGTAGTGATGTTTTTGCATCTCGGAAGTTAAACAATGGGCAAACAAAGGAAATAGATTAGATAGCTCAAGTACTTGAGCAAAGTGCACGTATACTGGACCGGAGCTTCCATATACGTAAATTTACTCCTGCGTGTAAGAAGCACAATGGGGCGGTGATGTGTCGTCACAAAAGCTCATCCATCCGATGCCTGTCTATTTAAACTTTACTCATTTTGAAATTAAAACTACTTCGATCCCTCTGTTTCACACTTACACTCCAAGGTATGGATATTAATAAAAACTTTCAAAGAAGAGACAATTAGTGTCAAAACCTTTCTCATTTTTAAAGTATGGTTCCTTCCAGCTCTTTGTCATCACATGTGTGGAAAACAATGAAAACTATCCCTCTATCTCTCTCTCTCTCGGAACGTTTTAACATTTCTATTTTTGTTGAAGTTTGATCTCTCTCTCCCCCTCTCTGTCTCTAAATATCTAAGCTAGAGTGAACGTTTTAACATTTCTCTTTTTGTTGCAGTTTGATTCTCTCCCAAATATAGAAGAGTATTTGTTTCATTTTAAGCGTCAAAATTCTAGAAATTATGATCCTAGATTTGGGATCTGAGGGCATCTGCAATCCTGTGATTTAAAGCGATTTAATGATGCAGACTAAAGGATTTCATCTAATTGAATCTAAGATTGGACTGATAATATGTTTGTAGAGCAATAATGAATTTTATTTTACTTACAACTCAATTTGGGTTAACCTTTCTTGATCAAAACTTTTGCTGGACATCACTATGAAAATGATACTTAAATATTTTCCCTATTCTATAGCAACTGTAAATATTTTTTCAAGGGTGTTGCATGCCCTTTTTTGATTGCGGGAGTCAACCTACTTATAGATTTTATTGTTCGCAAATAATTGCCACAATTCTTGACAAATTAATAATGTAAAAATATTTAACAATAAATGAAAATATTAAATACACATATACTATAGCATTAAACACGTATATAGCATTAAAAGCGGTGTATAATAAATTAAGTGTAATTTTTATATAATAAATATAAACTGAATAAATACAAAAACAATAATATTATTCAATGGATTTTTAACAATATAATTTAAAAACACATACATACAAACAAACCTACTTAATCGCACTTAAAGCAAATTTCATTAATATTAACCACTCATTGAAAAAAAAAAATGCATTAAAAATAACAACAAACACTTGTGAAAATATAAAATTTTTTTTGTTCATTTACAAAACATTAAATTATTAAAGGTTATGAACAAATTTTATAGGTTAAAGGGTTTTTAATTTGTAAAATGTAAAATTTGACACAAATATGTCCATAACTTTGTCAGTTAGTCTGCTTTAAGGTTAATTTTATAAAAAAAAAATCTCAAATGACTTTTATTAATAGAGTTAATTTTTTCAAAAATTTTATTTATTTTTTCATTTAATTTTATTTTATTTCTATTTGCCTTTAAAATTATTAATTACACTGCATAATTATTTACCAGTTTTATCACTGTTTGCTTATGTTTGCTTCAATTTAATATCAAAATTTATTAAGGTAATTAAATAAAAATATACAAAAAACATATAATATAAATAGCAAATAATTGTTTTAACAAACAGAGTTGTTTAAAAACATTTTTACATGATTGGCCTTAATAGAAAAAATTTTTTTTTTTTTTTTTACATGGCCTTTATGCAATGACCCATTATACTCAAAACGAGGGTCAATTTGAAAATGAAAATAAATTTTTTAGAATTTTTAAGTTTTTTGAATGTATTGAGAAATCACTTACAACCAGAGATTACCTCAGGGCTTTTTTGTAACGAAAAATACCACAGTACTTCTAGAAGTATTTTTCTATATTAAAGGGTAGTCCATAAATAGACTACAGATAAATCAATAAATTATTCCATATATTAGGAAATATACTAGTCCATACTCCATACAATCCATATTTCAGTCAATAGACTAGTATAAAAGATAATATATTATTCCATAGACTGGTTATAGACTAATCAATAGGCTAGTTCGTAGACTAATCTGTAGATAGTCATAGCCCATATATAAATAGACTAGGACTATGACTGGCCTATTTACAAGTCTATTGAGTAGTCTGTTGACTAGTTCACAGACTGTCCATTGATTATTCAACAGACTAGTCCATTGATTAATCAGCAGACTAGACTGGTACATAGAATGGTTCATTGACTAGTCCTTAAACTAATAAAATTAATAGACAATAGACTTGTAAATATACTATTGACTAGTCATAGTCCACAGACTAGTCTGTTGATATGAAAAAAATAATTCATAATTTGAAAGAATTTTGTAGTAAATAGTATGAAACTCTTTTTCAAACCATTTCAATTTAGAATATGAAAAGTTCATAAATACATTTTTTTAAACCATTTTAATTCAGAATATAAAAAGTTTAAGTTACAGACTAGAAAAAACTAATTCATAACTGTAATGAATTTTGTAATTAATAGTATGAATCGAATAGACCTCCAAATAATTTTAATTTAGAATAAGCAAAGTTTATAAATAGTATGTTATTGAACAAGCAAAGTTCATAAATAGTATGTTACTGAACAAGTCATTTTCATTCAGAATAAGAAAAGTTCATAAATAGTATGTTATTCAATATGTGGAGTGCTGTTTGTTCTTTTAATTATTCTTTTCAATATTTCATCCATTTCTGATTCTATATTTGATGATAATACAATATCTTCTAAATTGAATTCAATCAATTGACACAACATTACGTTGAGTTGATATGGGTTCTAGGACATGAAGGCATCCAATGAAATATCTGATAAAGGGTCGTCCCTAGACTTAAACATTGCGCAAAAGAATATTCACACTCCCCTGATGACCCTATCAAAATTGATAGACTGGGCTTTGAGTGAGATGGAACTTAGGTGGTCAAATATCACCACTTGTAGAATATTGAGACTGCTCTGGCCCACTCTGACAATGGGACTCTCTTTTCTCTTAGTAAAAACTCGACATAAAGGAATGGCAATTCTAAGGCCTCCGAGTGAACTTGCTAACTAGCGAGCAACCCACGTAACCTAACCTTAAAAGATTAGAAAAGAAAAGAATAACCAAATCTTAAATGCAGCAACCATCCATTATTCATAAAATCTTTCTATATCTTAAGATCATAAAGTAATAAAACACTTTCCAAAAAAGAACTTAAAAAAATTAAAAATTCTTACTATTTACGAAATTATTCTTAAATATTATGAAAAAGTTCATAGTATTTATGCAGATATTGACATATAAAACGCAAGTGCTCTAAAATTGATAAACTAAGCGCTTTATCAAATGAAGAGTAAATGTAGAGCTCACTCTATATATTTTCCTTAAAATTTAAAATTTTTCTCATTGTTGGTAAAAGTCTCATTCTTGTTTTACTTCGACCCTCGTTTAAAATTTATTTAAGCTTTTTTTTTTTTTGTTTTAAATTTTGTAATTTTTTTTTTTGTTTTAATTACCTATCATATGTTATTGATATGTTTAGTTCATATCAGCGTAAAAATACAATTAATAATTATTTAATGAAGTTAATTTTAATGATTTAAATCACATAACAGAAAATAACTTATTTAAGCAACTAAATTCACAATAGGCCTAAAAATGTTTGTAAAAAGTTTTTAAATATGTGTTTAATAATATACATATGTACACAGAGGGAAAAGGAAATATACACGCCTGGTACCAAATTGACACCAAAGAGTTTATAATTTTTCAATAGTCAAAGTACAACAATACTATGTAATGTTGACAACGCAACGTTGTCAACATTGCAACAATTCGTTGTCGAAGTCTAAATTTTATACACATCCGTTGTCCAAATGTTAAAAAACGTGATAAGCTCACTATTGGCAATGGATTGTTTGTCAATAGTCAGCTTACCACGTTTGTTAACATTTAGACAACGGATGTGTATAAAATTTAGATTCCGACAACGAATTTTTGCAATGTTGTCAACATTACATAGTGTGGTCGTACGTATGTACATATATACTTTAAAAACGGATGGTATTGAAAAACAGTTTGGTGTCAATTTGGTAGCAGGCGTGTATATTTCTTTTTCCCTCTGTGTATATCTAAAGTTAGGGTATATGGAACAAGAGCTCGTATAGGTCATATAGCCCATAGTGATACCCTTAAAATAACTCCCAAATTTGGACGGACTTATGTCCTTGGTGCCAGAGAGAACAACCTGATATTTCTAAAAGAATTTAATCGATTTGTTAGTGAAGCTTTTCTATTCATCAATCACCGTCAAATATTTAGTTAATCGTGGTTTTATTACAATATCATAAAATTATTTTTTAATCTTTGATCTTTAGTTTACAATACATACAAAGGTTTTATTTATTAGTTATATAATTTTTATTATAAATTAAATCTCTTAAATACTTTCAAAGGATTACAAACTATTTGACATAATTTTTAAAAGTAAAAACATTTAAGCCTTAATATGTAATAGATTTAAATAACTAAAAAAATTTTAATTATTCACAGTACATTATTATGAAGTTAATTAATTAAAATAGTTAATAAAAATATTATGAAATAAAATTAACTTTTAAACCATAATCATAAAATAGTATAATATTATGACATTTTAATACAATGACTTGATATAAGAAGTCATATATCTGTTATAAAGTACATTATATTTTTTTTCTTGGTACTACGAGTGTTTTTCAAAGAAATTTCACCTTAGATTTTTTTGTGCCTTAAAATATGCTATAGTTTAATTAATATAAAATGAAGAAAAACAAGCTCTGGGAATATTCTCGAATAAAACTTACAGTTTAATTTTTACCTTTAAATGAGATTTAACATAAATAGTGTTGCAACGCAACATTAAAATACTATTTGTTTATTATTTAAATCTAATTTAAAAGTAAATTTAGTTAAATAATTTTTATCATATTTTTCCTCATTTATTATGCATGTTTAATAATTTTCATCTAATTATCTGTATATGTATGTATATAAAACTAACAAGCACGTTTTTATTATATAAAATATTAACAATTTACTAAAAATATCATAATTTTGGCTTTTAGTCTTTATAAATTTTAATAATTAATTTTTGTTTTTACTAAATTTGTTTTATGTTTTTTTTTTTTTTTGTTCTTTGTTAATTTAATAAAATATTTTAGAGCATGCTGCTGGCAAATTTTTAATTATCTATTTTGCTTTTTTTAATTGAATTGAATGCTGCTGTTTGTCAGGCAAAATAATTAATATTGATTTTTTTTGTTCTATTTTTTCTTCCATAATAAAACTGCCGAACATGTATAGGTTACCGCAACTGATGGTGACAAGGATCGTCCACAGAATATTGTGTATTTCTTGACAGGTCAAGGTATTGACCCTGATAATCCAGCAAATAGTAAATTCGATATTAATCGCACAACGGGAGAGATATTTGTATTGAAGGTGAGTCAAATTGTCAAATATGTTGCTATTTTTATTTACGCCTAAAAGTATGCCACTTTAAAATAAAGTACTGGGAATATTCTGGAAAATAACATATAATTTTATCTTATTCTTTATCAACAAATTAAAGTAATTCCTTCGTCAACAATTATATTTGAAATATAACCATAGCCTACCTTAAGGCTTTTACATTTCTTTCTTTATTGTATAAATTATTTTAAAGGCTTAAACATTTTCTTTTTAACAAAACTATTTATAAAGTTTCCCTATAAAAACCCAACCCACATTGTTTCTTTTGTCAAAACCCTTCTCTGCTATATTATTGATCTGTTTTTTTTACATTCGCAATTGTAATTTAAACATAAATTACTTAATATGAAAGAAATATTTCGTTTTATTATTTTTACTGACATTAAAAAGTCTGCTTAAAATATGAGCAGTATAATTAAACTTTATAGTTGTAATTTATTTGTATATGTATGTCCAGCAACCATCTTATTAATATTTATTTAATAATTTTTTATTTTTTTTTTTTTGAACGTGAATGACTTTTCAACGAAAAATTACCAATAATTATTTTAAATTTTATGCATTCTACGGTTAAAGGCCTTAAAGTGGGAAAATATATTATATTTATTTTTGCAATTTATGCGAAAAAAGAAATATTAATAATTATTGCATACCTTAAGGCTTGTCATATAGCTTAACTTGTAATATGCTTATGAAAATGCCACAAATATGGAGAAGACGAGAGAGTAGGAGTATACAATTATTGTTAAGCCTGAATGTATGCTTAAGAGTTTAACTAAGAATTTAAAAGTCCATATGGAAGGCCCTTTAAAATGGTTTCTAAGTTAATACCTTTTTTTCTACGATTTCCATAGTTGCTCAATTGGAAGCCACATGTTTACTGAATGTTAATACTAAATTCTTTAAGAGTATTTTAGTATAGGTTTGGCTAGGTTGATAGGAGGATGTATACTATCTCAAATCTGAAGAAATATACCAAGGCCACTATCGGGCCTGCGCTTCTTTTCGTGAACAAAATTGTTCACTTTTAAATGTTCAGAAACTGAGTTTCCTGGATGTAATTCTTAAGAATTTTCCAATCAGTGTTAGTCAGGTATGTTCGTTCTGGAATAACATCACTTCCAAGATACTTGGATCTAACTTCGACGAATGCCTGACAGTGGCAAAGAAAGTGCTCCAGAGTTTCACAGTTCTCTGCACATGCTCTACATTCGTCTGGATCCACAAGTCCAATTTTGTGTAGATCTGCTTGTAATCCTGTGTATCCACTCGTCAGGGTCACCCCATAGGATCTTTGTGGTTCTACGCACCGTTTCATTTTTCCAAGAACCTTTATTGGAATCTCTCACCCACATTTTTTATACCCACCATCAAAAAAGATTCGGGGTATATTGTTTTTGTCATTCCGTTTATAACACTAAGACCCTTAAAAGTATATATATTCTGGATCCTTATTCGATTCTAAGACGATCTAGCCATGTCCGTCCGTCTGTCTGTCTGTTGAAAATACGACAGATTCCAAATGGAAGTAGCTCGCGGGCTGAAATTTTGCATAGATATTTTATATTGATACAGTTTGTTTGGTACTGAAAATGGGCAATATCGGTCCACGATTTTACCTGGTCCCTATATCAGATCCCCTTCAGGAAATGACTTAAACGCTCATAACTGTCTAAGAGAAGTATCTATATCGATGAAATTCGACATGAACATATTCTATAGGAACCTTAATCGCTTTGTAAATTTTTTTAAGGATCGTTTCATAATCTACCCTATCCCCCTTCTGAAAATGACTTTTAAGCTCATAACTGTCTAAGAGAAGCATCTATAGCGATGAAATTCGACATGAACATATTCTATAGGAACCTTAATATCATTGTAAAATTTTATAAGGATCGGTCCATAATTGACCCTTCCCCCCAAAGATCTTAATATCTTTGTCAATTTTTTGAAGAATCTGTCCGTAATTTACCCTACCCATCATATATTGTCCCCTTCAGAAAATTACGCTCATTACAGACTTAAAAATGCGAGTGCAGCGATGGAATTCAACATAAACAACACCTGTATGAACGTAATATGTTCTACAACTGATCTGAACTGAATTCGGAAGAGCCTCACTAATGGCCATCTTCCAAATATTACCCTAATGTTCATATTAATATCGATATATATATGATGGTCAAATTTTACATAGATGTAATAAATGAGAAAATTGTTTTGATAATAACAAAAGCATCGATTATGAAATATTAAAGCTTATTTATAAGGAAGCATTCCTTTTCGGCAATGATTTGATGGTGGGTATATAAGATTTGGAACAGCCGAATATAACACTATTACTTGTTAATTCAGCTTTTGTTGCTTCGAAAGGTTTTGCGTTCATCAGGTTAACTACCTCGAGCTTCCTTCCCTTTAAAACTATTACATTCGTCCTTTAGTTTCTGCCTGGAAGCTTGTGTTAAGATTAGATAAACGGTGGTATATTTCTGTGTCTGGGTCTACAATATAGAACGCCAAGCCCACTCAGTCCAACAATTTAGAGCCATCCGTGTTACAATGGATTCCTACTGGTATTTGATCTAATGTTCCGCTTGACCAAGACATTGTATGTGGGATCAGCGTTTCAAAGTTTCCGACATATTCTATGTCTAGTATGCGATCAGACATGTTTGATGATTGTGTATAACTTTCCAATGTATCCAGTATACATTGATGACGTGTCCTATAACCGCTTTTGGCCAGTTCGCCCAAAGTAAAGAGCCGTTCGGCTGTAAGCTTCGCCTCATATCTTAAATATGTTTCAATGGGTGGAATATCTAGCAAGGTTTCCAGGGTCTTGTTTGAAGTAGTACAAATGGCACCACTTATACTCAAGCAGCATATACGTTGAACTCCCTGTAGTAGTTTGATATTACACTTTTTGTCAAAAGCAGTCCACCAGATTATTGAAGCATAAGCTAGAATTGATCTAATTACACTTTTATAAAGCTAATTTGTCATAGTAGGACTAAGACCCCATTTCATTCCTATAATTCTCCTACATATCGCCCAGCACCGATGTGCCTTGTTGATCCTATCCTGAATGTGGTGTCTCCATTTTAATTTCCGCTCAAGTATTACTTCTAAGTACTTAACTTTATCTGTCACCGTATTTTGTCTGTCAAAGTATTTTAGTCAAAGAAAAAATAAAATTTATAACTCGAGATATATGTATATGCTCAAGGCCCTTAAGAATTGTTGCCACTTCACTTCCTAGAGTTTTAAATATACATATATAAGTATGTATGAATATTTTTTGTGTGCAACATTATTAAAGTCAATTTCCATAATTATTATTATGATTATTATGATGATTGTTATTGTTCATGGTTTTAATTTCTTGTTCTTTATAAAATTACCAGCGAATCTGTATGTTGTATGTACTTACATATTACGATTCATTTATGCCAAATTAAAAGTCATTTTTCATTATGAAAATGATCAGTTTGTTGGCCGAAATATATGAATAAATAAATATTTTTTTTTATGTTTAAAACTCACAAAAGAACCAAAAATGTATGCCAAGTTATTAATGATACAGAATTTCGCAGTGATGTGTTAATAATTATACAGAAAAAACGTCAATGTATTAATTTCCTTGAAATGAATTAAAACTTAATTAAAGGTAGTAAATTGGATTAAGAAAATATGGTAAATTAAATTGTTTGACTTAAATTTCATTTAATAATTTTAAAACTTTAACGAGCAATTGAACTGTGGTTTTAAATTAGCTGCTTAAAGTATGCAATTAATAACGTAATTAATTTAATTAATTTTGGCTGACCAAAAATTTGAATGAAATTATGTATTTTATTTAAATATAATTTAATTTTAAAGGGTGTAATCTATTATTCTAATTCTATGCTAAAATTATGCAACAGTTTACTTTTATGCAACCGAAGGACCATATTATATTCTCTATAGATAATTATTTGCATAGCATAACTCAAGGCTGCTAAACGAAAGTAAAAGTAATCGTGAACATAATTTCCATTTATAAAATTTTCTAAACTAAATTCATAAAATTTACAAGTGAAATGATAAACGTATGCAATTATTAAGCTAGCGTAGCACCATTTTATATTCCCTTACTTTTATTTCATTATGTATAGCATACATTTGAGCTGACATTTAACAAAATACATAAATGAAAACATTATTGCCAACAAACGTTAAACGATTATTCTTCTTCCTTTCACTATTTCAACAAATTGTTAATAAAACAACAATGTCTTGCTGTTTATGTTGCATTTAACTGTAAATTACATTGCTTTTAACTATTAAATGTAAAGGATATTTTTGATGGTGTTTCGCAGGATAAACAAAAACCATAAAATTGTTTACATTATTATAAAACATTGACAATGGCATTTACTTAATACTTTTACATAGTTAGTTTTAAATAAATGTTAAATGTTTTCTTTCTTTTTTGTATTTACTTAAGCAAATTTGTTCCAAAAATTCTACAATTTTATAATAAACTCAAAGTGTGAAAAATTTCTCTATTTACTCTCTTGTCTACTATTGACAAAATAAAACTAAAAATTTTATCATAATGATTAAGTTAACTTTGGTTTTTTTTTGGGTCTTTCAAACAGCAATACAAAAACTTCACCAAAAAGTTTGACACAAGTAACAGCAAACTGCTAGGAAAAAAAAACTAACTTAAAAAGGAATCATCATAATATACAGTAAAGTGTCAATGCTTTTTGGTGTCAAACATGAAAATGCACTTCACTTACTTACTTCAGTCCAACAAAAAATAGAGTTAAGTTCTTCGAGGAAAACATAGAAAAAACTCAAAAAATATTTCCTGAGTTTTCTTTCCCGTTTTTTTCCTCTTCATAACTCTGTATACACTCAGTAGCAAGTACTTTTTATGACATTATTTCCCATTATCAATGGTTGCACAACATTTTAACATTTAT